TTTATAGGAACCTTCCTTTCTTATGGCTTTCTTTTATTGAGTTTTGAAATAACACACACTCGAAGAAAAAATCAGAGTACAGCCAAGTGTCAAGAAGGAAAAAACCCTACAGAAATCCCTTCCTCCGGATGAACTAGGCTAACATTTTGATATATATCTTTCCAGGCCTCTTTCTGTGTGATTGTGAGTATGTATGTGAGTTATGTGTGCATTCATACATACATATAAATATACATTTACCAATATGAGAATTCTGCTGTTATATTAAAAAGTCCTCCACATTATAGAAACTTAACCCAAAAGCTTATTTCTCTGTCATATTAAATCTGGGTCCCGGTAGGAATGGTGGCTCCACAGTCATTATAATTTCAAGCTCCTTCTATATTTGTCCTGCATTATTCTCAACCTCTGGCTTCCTCCTCATGGTCTAAGAGAGTTGCTCCAGAACCAGCCATCACATCTGCATTTCCACGAGCAGGAATGGGTAAATGGAAAGTGGAGTCCTGCCTATGCCTTTTGAGTACACAGCCTAGAAGCCGCACACATTATTCTGGATAACGTTTGCCTGAATGTAATGACATGGCCATGCTTAGCCTCAAGGAAGCCTGGGAAATATGTACCTTACTCTGGGCTACCATGTATGTGCCCAGCTAAAAGTCAAGGGTTCTGTGACTATGAAAGAAACAGGAGAATTGACATTGTAGGAACTGGCAGTGCTGTTTGTTGCTTATCTTCATTCTCTTAGTAATATCTTTCCTCCCCAAGAGAGACAGTTCTTTATCTTATCTTACATTCTAACCATTGAACCCTGTGAGCAGGCATCGCATCTGCCTAGGCCAAATTACAGGTTGTAATAGGGTGGCTTTCTTAAGGCACACCCAGAAGTCAGCTGCTCAACCAGCAATTTCGAAATGGGAGGCAGAGTCCTGGCAACACCAATATTTGCCATGCCATTTCCCCCAGATTTGACCTCTATAAATAGCACTAAGAGAATCAGAAAAGGCCATCCCATTGCAAAACCAGAATTGCAAGAAAGGTGTGTGATAAACCTTCTCTGGCAAGTTTCAGCACCTCTGCTAGTCATTCTTAAAGTGATACCATTAGATTGTGTGTGTAATCACATCCTGTCTACAGAAGCACTAATCTCTTGTTCCTTCTTTTCACTTATAGAGGAATTTGTGTGTGTGTGTGTGTGTGTGTGTGTGTGTGTGTGAGAGAGAGAGAGAGAGAGAGAGAGAGAGAGAGAGGGAGTGGAGACCATGGAAATGGACTGAAGTTTGCTATTTCTATTTGAAATATTGCTTTTTAAAAAAAAGATTTTATTTATTTTTAGACAGAGGGGAAAGGATGGAGAAAGAGAGGGAGAGAAACATCAATGTGTGGTTGCCTCTCATGTGGCACCCCCACCAGGGGCCTGGCCTGCAACCCAGGCATGTGCCCTGACTGGGAATCGAACCAGCAACTCTTGGATTCACAGGCTGGCACTCAATCCACTGAGCCACACTAGCCAGGGCTGAAATATTTCTATTTCAAACCAGAAGACAATGAGCCAGGAGAGGAACTTTATCTCCATTTGAAGCCAAGGTTTTCTTGACTGTTTCACATGCTTTGAGACTCATGTCTGTGACACTGAAATATCATGCGATATAGAGCCCGGGGGATTTCTGCCACTCACCGGCTGAGCGATATCAGCCAAGATAGTCAGCCTCCCTGTGCCTCAGTTTTTTCATTTGCAAAATAGAACGGATAATAATAGGAAGTTCTTTCAGGGTTTCTGTGAGAATTAAATCAGTAAAGTCTCGGGAGGAACCCAGGACATGGGGAAGCCCTCAGCAGATGGCCACAGGCATCTAGTCAACCAGGAAGGGCTGCAGAGGGAAGCCCTTTAGAGCTATAAAGTTGATGGTCAACGTGGGGGACGTTAGTGAGGATGAACGGGGCAGATGCACCGTTTTTGGGAACTCCAGTGCTGGCCAACCCCAAGGCAGCATGTTGTCATCCTTACCAATTCTCCTTCAGATGACTTGAGGGCCTCACGTTAAAGTCCTGGCCGAATCTTACATTTCCAAGATCCTGGGGCTGCTTCCCTTCAGGATAAATGTGGAGTGTGGTACCTCAGTTTTTATGCCAACAGCTCATTAGGAAGAACCCTGGATTCAGAGCTAGGGTCTGCGTCCTGACATTGCGGCCCATTTCCTGGGGGGCCTCTGGCTGGATCCTTCCCCATCTGGACCACCGCTAGCACACTGCCCCGTTTACAGGGCCTGGGACACACACGGAGGCTCATGCTGTAGGTCTGGAGCATTAGAAGGTGTTAACTTAAAAAAGAAAAGGCCTTACAAAGTGGGAGGGAGGTGCTTTTATCATCCCTATTGTCCAGAGGAGGAGAGTAAGGAGCACTGACTCATGGATGTGAACTTAAAGGCTGTTCATGTCAAGACTTCCAAGGATGGTGAGTGAAAGCAGAACCACGGAGAGAGGAGGAATGAAGGTGCCTTTTCCAAATACCAGGTCACTCACCCTCTCTCCTTGTCCTTGGCAGGATATGTGAGGGTGGCCAGCTCTGTACTGTACACGCTCTTCTGCGTCTACTCTCTGTGCGTGTAATTAATCTTGGAGCATCTTCCTGCATCAGCAGAGATCTTGCTCAGTACTGGCTCCAGCGTTCTTTCTGCGAGAGGATGCCCACATGCCCTTGTAAAGGCAAATACAAATAAAAAGAATTTCCCCCTGTGTCAGGAAGGGAGACATCCCCTTTCCCTTTTCTTACAGCATTTACTTTAGAAAACAGGTAGACTCCTCTGCTCCTTTCAGATGTTGTGTCTTTTAAAAAGCTGAATGAGCCTCTGGCCAGGCTTATCACCCAGGGGCGTTTTTCTCAAGGACCTGGGAACCATCTCTTTGAAATATAAATATCAAGAAAACCAGCCCTGGCTGGTGTAGCTCAGTGGATTGAGTGCGGGCGCTGTGAGCTGGAAGGTTGTCGGTTTGATTCCCAGGCAGGGCACATGCCTGGCTTGCAGGCCAGGTCCCCAGTTGGGAGCATGTGAGAGGCAACCAATTGATGTATCTCTTGCACGAATATTTTTCTCTCCCTCTCTTCTTCCCTTCCCCCCCTCCAAAAATAAATAAAATCTTAGAAAAGAAAACTAGCACCCCTATGCCCAGTCTCTGTGAGAGGGTAGGTGCCTAACTTCACTGCTAGGCTCCAAGCTGCAAAACGGCCTCCTCTCATAAAGACAGAAGTTTCTTTTAGCTAACTCAGATAGCCACCCCAATGACCAGGTGAATGCAGGATGAATGATGTGACAAATGGTGCTCTCTGGCCCTCCCACATGAGGACTAGGTAACCGTTGAGAACACAGATATAATCCGTTGCATCTGCTTGTATATAAAAGAGTGGGATTTCTCTCTGCCTCTCATTAGTGGATTGTCTGCGATGTGTCCCACAACCTGGTTTAACGCTTATTCAGTGATATGACTATTTTCTTTCTCGTATACTTTTGTGGAGAGGCTGTCTGGGTTAGTGGGAGATTTTGTTTTTAATTTTGTCTTCAACACCTTCAAACATCTTTCCTGCAGAGGGCTGGCTAAAGGAATTTGGCACCTCCACACAATGGAATACTATGCAGTCGTGACAAAGAACAAGAACGCTCTTTTCATTTTCATTGCTGAGTCAAAGTGCAAGGTCCACAGGAGTTCATATTTTTTCTGTAAAAAGACTATATTTGTATTTTCTTACATTGTCCAAATCTCTGGAAGAATAAATAAGGGACTAATAAAAAGTGCTCGTATGTGTTAAGGGGAACTGGGTAGATGGGGGAGAGAAGAGGGATAGAATTTTTTTGCTGAACACCATTTTATATTTTCTGCTTTTTGAAACATGTGACTATATTATCTATTCAGAATAAATTTAGAAAAAGGGATGGCAACAAGCGAAAAACACAAACCACTAAGAAAAGAAATCCCAGGCCCAGACATTCTCTAAACACTTGATTCTGTTTAATTTCTGAGCTCAGTCTTGACCTCAGAGCCAACTGAAAACTAGTTATAATGATACATTTTGGGGGTTCATGGTTGACTTTTTTTCTTAGAAGGTTGATCAATGTCTTTGTTTAAAAAAGAAAAACAAAAAGTAAAACAAAAAAAAAATCAGGTAAAACAAAAACAATCAGGTAACTGAGACACCCTTCCCTGTACGCCCCCTCCTTCCGGCCCTCTGCGTCCAGTTTTCAGTCTTGGAGAGTTGGGGGTGGTGGGCAGCTCATTTTCAGGGGCTCTGTCTCGCCCTTCATCATCTCTCTCTGCCTCTCAGGGGGTCAGGAGGGGTGATGGGAAGGGGTGTGTGGGATACAGTGTCCCCCTCATACCGCAGATTGGGGAGCCAATGTGCTCAAGATTCTACCATTAGCCACCTGTCTTCTAGAAGCTCCTCTGTGAGGATAGTGGGGAAAGTGATAGGGGCAGTGTCATCCCTCAAGCCCTCTGGCCACTTGAGTCTGTGTTGATTGTAGCTCCTGTTACTACTCTTGGGGAGGTGGCCCAGGCAGTTCTGCCAGGTGTATCTCCCTGTAATACCTGTGTCAAGTCTATGAGGTAGGTGCTACTCATTATAATCCCTGTTTCATGGATGGGGAAACATAGGCACAGAGAAATCAAGTGACTTCCCCAAGGACACACAGCTTCTAAGAGCCTGCTCACCCTCTCAGCTGTTCCCCTTCTAACACCTTTGAGCCTGCCTCCAGCTGGATGCTCTGTAGTCAGTTTTCCCTCAAACATGTTAGACGTGCTGAAAAAGTGGAAGTGCAAGCACTATGACTCATAGTTGGGGTAAGTCTGTGCTTTGCATTTCCAGGACCCGTGGGTGACATTACCTACTGTACAGAGGGGAGTTGGTATTGATGGTTCAAGTCCTCAGGCTGTGCCTCTGAGGCCTCCGGCGCTTGCCCGGTGACCTTGGGCTCTTGCCTTGTCTCTCTGGGTCCCTGTTTTCAGTTTGCCTAGGTGGAGCAATGAAGGCTGCAGAAATCCGCGGAGGAGAAGACTTGCCACACGTTGACCAGCGGGAACATGAGCAGAGCTCCAAGTAGTGAGCCCAGCTGCACTGCTGCTCCGCACCACAAGAGGGCGCTGCGGCTATGGTCACGCAGGATCACGCCGAGCATCACCTTGACATAGCTCAGACAGCCAGTGAAAAGCACCCAGGAAGCCACCTGTGGGGATAAGGTGGGAGAGATGCAGAGTGCACGGGGCTTTGGGGTGACTCCTAGGGACGAAAGGTGTGGGATGACCTCACAGGGCTAAGGGAAACCCATGACTTGACTCCTCTCCAAGGGCCAAGGAAAGTCCAGTGGCTTTCCTGGCCCATGATCAAGTTAAGGGCGTCGGGAAGAAGGCCACTGTTGTTGTAGACATAGTGGAAAGAGTGTGGCCTTCTGGGGACAGGCTGTGCCAGCACCTTGGACCAGCCACCTCACCTTTCTAAGCCTCTAATCCCAAATGTCAAGCAACCCTGCCCTTACCCCCACCAAGTGGGGCTCCTGAGAGAGCAACCACAGAGACTTCAGTCAACAGAAAGGGCTATAGCCCGGGGCGCCCAAGGCCTGGGGTATAGGCGAGGGAGCGCCTGTGGGGGCAGAGACTTACGATGACGACTTCTCCACTCCAGTGGCCCTGCAAGAGGGGGCAGGGGCTCATCACCGCCATGGCCATGTTGTAGGCCCCAAAGCCCGCGCCAAGCACTGTAAGGGCTCCCAGGAATAGCGGAGACCTAGGGCAGAGTGGGGGAAATGAATGGAGTTGTGAGAAGCCTGACCCCTACTTTTCCAACTCTGGGCGCTACATGGAATGGTCAGCATCTGAAGGGTTGGAGGTGAGAACCATGTGGCAACGTCCAGGCCATTGGGCTCAAGTGGGTCAGTGAGGCTCCTGAGAGACAAGCCTGGCCTAAGTCACCCTGAGCCCCGAGGGCGGGGTCCCGCATCCCCGCAGGAGAAACAGAATGACTCTGCTGCTACACCTAATTCAAGTCCCAGTTCCACCATTTAAGCCACGAGACTGGTCCCTGTGCCTCGGTTTCCTCCCCTGTGAAATGAGTCTTGAAGGACTATGGCTGGGGAGGTGGGGCTGTGGGAGCAGACTGCGCAAGGTCTGGCCCTGGCCACGGGCCCTACCCGGTATTGCACCTGCTGCCATTTCCTCCTGCGACATGCCCAGACTCAGACAGGAAGCTGGGATGCAGAGAAGGTGGCCCTAATTGCACCACTGGCCTGCAGTGTGTGCTGTGCGACCTCGGGGGGCCCTCCCTTCTCGCCTCAGCTACTCCTGTCTGCAGCATGAGCTCTGCATGATATGGGGGCCCTGGTGACCAGCTTGGAGGTGCTCTACAGGTGGCCTTCCATGTAGAATCCAGGTCTGACGACCAAGGACACAGTCCTTCATTTGAAGTCTCTGCCCCTGGGGTCCTCCTATCCTATCTTCAGAACTCCAAGGCTGGTCTGCGCACTGGGCGAGAGCAGAGGGTCTGCCCCAGCCTCTAAGGATGCCTTCTGCTCCAGGGTTCTTGGATTCCTTGACTCTCGGATTCTGTATTTCTAGCATCCTGGGTCTTAGATCCCATAGGTCTGTAGTCTCTGGTCAGGCTCCCCAGTCACCCCCAGGCTCCATCCAGTTTTTAAGCCCCAGTGGAGAAAATTCAGCTTCCTGGAAAATTGACATTTTCTGTCTAATTCTCCTGTACTCATTTTTCCTTTCTGTGGCTGGGGGAGGTGGGTGTGGCAGGTGGGGTTGGGCAGGGCTGGAGAGGTGGGTGTGGCAGGTGGGGGTGGGCAGGGCTGGGGAGGTGGGTGTGGCAGGTGGGGGTGGGCAGGGCTGGGGAGGTGGGTGTGGCAGGTGGGGGTGAGCAGGGCTGGGGAGGTGGGTGTGTGCAGGTCTCAGAGGCCAGTGAGAGCAAGTGGGGCAGAGAGGCAGATGGGAGCCTGAGCCACCTAAAGTTTCAAGATCCCTAAGTGAGCTTTTCTCCCATGGGGGTCTGAAGCCCTTGAGTCAGAACCACTTAAGTTGCTTATTAAGATTTGAAATCCCATATCCCAGTCTAGGCTGGCTCTGGCTCTGGCTCTGGCTCTGGCTCAGTCTGCATTTTGTCCATTTGCCCAGCTGTTGTGTAGAACTGTGGCTGTAAGGGAGCCAGCCTGGCCTGGAGGCAGGGGGCAGGGCTGGAATCCAGGAAATTAGCGCAGGGCCAGCCCTTTCTCTGAGCCTCAGAGTTTCCATTGTAAACGGGAACCCAGCTCCCACCTGGTTGCTGCTTCTCATGGGCCAATGACTGTGATGGCGGACACTTTGGGCCTGCCATGCCCCGGCACTGCTCTGAAAGCTTTACCAAATTAGCTCATCTAATGTTCCCAGCCACCTGAGGCGGTCGAACAATTATTATCCCCACACATTTTTCAGATAGGTATCCCTGAGGCACAGAAAGGTGGAGTGACTTGTGCAATATGACACAGCTAGTAAGTGGCAGAGCTGGGATTTGAATCCAGGCAGCCCAGCCCCAGAAAAACCATATTTTTAACTATTAAACATATAGCCTGATGGTGGAGTTTGGAATTCTGGCTTTTGAAATGAAGTGCATCCCCAACCAGAGAGCTCCCCAGGACCAGCTGGAGGCAGACCTGTTAGACAGGAACATGGAGATGAAGCAGGCCAGAGGGTTGGCCATGGAGCTGAGGGTGGCAGACAGGTGGTAGGCAACAGGCCCGTAGGACAGGCAGGAGTAGGTCTGCACGGAGGGCAGCACGCCGTTGGTGAGCGCGTTCACAAAGGCCACCAGGACGTAGGTGAAGAGCAGGGGGGCTGGGCTGTGGGCGGGCCTTTCCTCCTCCAGATGCGCTTGGCCCTTACTGATGTCCACCGGGCGTGGGGCGCCCGAGTCCTCTTCCAGTGGCCTGATGGAGTGGAGGGTGACCTGGGAGGCGAGGAGGTCTTTTGTGGAGGTTTTCCAGCGCCCAGGGTGACGCTGGAGGAAAAAGAAGGCAACGAGGCAGCAGGCCATCATGAAGGAGAGCAGCAGGAAGAAGACCCAGGGCGAGAAGTTGGCAGGGAGGTAGCGGCTTTCCAGACGGACCACGGAGGGCGCTGTTCCAGTGAGGTCAGGCACGAGAGCGCTGTTATTTCCCTGGGGAAAGACAAAACAAGGGCCACTGGGTCCCTGGGTGACCTTGGGACGCGGGTGACAACAGTAATAATACACAGTAAATATGATGCATTATTATGAATAAGTATGTGATGAATAATATGCACGTAACTACTGAGGTGATGATAATAAATGCTCACTGGGCACCGGCACCTTGCATGCGTCAGCTCGCCTGCACCTCCTAACAGCCCTGTGTAGAGGGGACCATTATCACGGGCTTAGAGAAGAGAGGTGTCAGAACGGACTGTCTTACTTGAGGGTTGCGGGTGGGGAGCATGTGGCAAAACAAGTCTACTTGGTTCTTTCTGACTCAGCTCTACCTCTTCCCATGCGACTGCCCTCCAGGCTGGCGACCATAACTAAGTGCAGAGGAGGCCCGGCTGAGGACCAGCCAGTGGGAGAGCAGCCCCACCACAGTTCCCGCTGTGGTGACAGGGCCCAGTGTGGCCGGATCTCTTTTCAAGACAAACAATACATCTAGATTTATATATGTGAAATTGCAAAAAATGTAAATGTCATCAAATAATTCAAATACTTAAAAATACTCTTGCAGGCTACGGTGGCCTGGGCCACTGGTTTGCGTATGTAAATTGTCCAATATCCAGTGGAAGAAAGTTTGACGTGTGGACAAAAAAGGGATTCTGCGAAAAGCTAACTCCCCGGGTTATCTGATCATAAAAATTTTTTAAAAAAAATTCTTATTTAATTTTAGAGAGGGGAAGTGAAAGAGAGAAGGAGAAAAACAGCAACCTGTGGTTGCCTCTTGTGTGCCCCCTACTGGGGACCTGGCCCACAACCTAAGCATGTGCCTTGGCTGGGAATCAAACCAGCAACCCTTTGGTTCACAGGCCAGTGCTCAATCTACTGAGCCACACCAACCAGGGATGATGATAAACTCTTAGCTGGACTGGTTATGGTAGGTAAGTCATGCCCCAGGCATATAACTTCTTTAGTAAAAGGCTTACCTTTGCTTAAGTAAGCCTTGTCCATTGTTTCTGTGTATCTAGGTTAATGCACCTGCGAAATGCTCCCTTTCAGAGCCTTCCAGAGAGCAAATAATCTCATCTGTCTTATAATTCAACACCTGTCTTGCCTTTTCAACCTTCTTGTTCTTCCTTATGTCCTCCCTTAATTTCAAATGCATAAAAGGAACTGCAAAACTACTATTCTTCAAGGACCTTGAGATCTTGGTTCCTGGCAATCAGTTTTGGCTCACATAAACTCTTATTAACATTTTCTACAGGACTGGATGGTTCTTATGCTGACATTTACTTGGTGTCATTGGCATGATTTTGAAGAAGCCCCCCTAGGACTAGTGTGGACCACGACACTGCCAGTGTGCTCACTTTGTCCCACGGCTCCTTGCTTCGCATCGGGTGAACTTGAGTGAGTCTTCTCTTGGAACCCTGGGTCTCCCTGCTTTAAGTGGCAGGCCATGACTTTACTTGTCCTCTTCCTAGAAAGTCCTTCAGGTGGAGAGGGGTTGAGATAACCCAGGGAAAGAAAAAAATGGGTTGCTGCTTTTAATTTTGGCTTTTTAACTGAATTGCTTATTGAGAGTCTGAACAAACTCTTTGCTAGTTAAGTGAGATACTAAACACTCTTTGGCTCCAAAAGAAAAAGGATACTTGCTTTTCTAACCAGAACGGCCAATGGAGTGACAATGGTTGGTGCAGACGCCGAATCCGGAGTGAGGAAGACGGGCACCGGGTCGTCCAGTGTGGTGGGGCAGCTGATACCAGAGAAGCTGGCGGGAGCCACAGGGAGGAAGGGTTCACACCGAGAGAGGGGCCTGTGCTTTGGACGGAGTCACAGTTCTGGTGGTGCCTGTTAAGCTTTTGCTGGCCCTTGCTCAGGTATTCCTAGGTGACTAAGAATCTTTGTGGGGTTGTCTGAAGAAAAAATGTCCTGCAGGGATATGGGGATTGTCCTATAGGGCTGTCCCCTACATTTGGCATGTCTGGAGATGTGCACATAAAGGCTGGGGTTTCCTAAAAGTTTGTTCAGACTCTACAGATGAGGAAAAAAAAAAAAAACCACCACAAAAACAACAAAACCAAAACTAAAATTAACATGGGAAATCATGCCTCCAAAGGCCAACAAGCCCATGACAGTACCCCATTAACGCTACGATGGTTGAGATGAGGAAGCTTCTAAATGAAACTTTTGTGCACACAGTTAGAAAAAGCTGGCACTGAAACTAGGTAGAATGAATGGAAAACATTATTTAAATGGTCTCTTGAAGCTTCGAAAAAAGGATTTAGATAAATGGATCCACCTGTGATGTCGGTTAGGCGTCAACCCAATTCTTTGAGATATTAAAAGTGGCTGTCCTTATTTTAGAATGGGGAAGGTCATTTGGAACTTGACTTGTCAAGGGCAGATATAAATTGAAAATGCCTCCAAAACAAAATTTGGACTTAACTATTCTTTTATAAACTAATGTGTCTATATATGTATGTTGTAAATGTGAGATAATTTTCCATATACAGATGGTATTATTAAAATTGATTTAAAGGCAAGCATGTGTAAGGATGGAGTATTCTAAAATTCTCGGATATATGAAAACTAACTCAAATGCTTTTCAAGTTTATGTGATCTAAGATTTATCTTTATTAATAAAAGTTTAAGTTTGTTGGTTTGAGTAGAACATATATCTTTTGAGTTACTGAAATTAAATATAATATTTATATTTTACCTGGGTTTACAAAAATAAGTTCATGGTAATAATCAACTTTGATATCTATGGAATATATTTCTAGAAGTAATAAAATGGATTCATAAATTTGCCAAGCTAAGGAATGCTAATTGCTTACTTCTTGGTTTTCATTAGAAATTGAGGTTAAAATCTTCGTGAATATGTGTGTGTGTGTGTGTGTGTGTGTGTATGAATAACTTTGTGGTGTTTCAGAAGGGCCACTGAAATACCTCCAGGGTTTTGTTTTTATGTTAAATCGCATGGAAAGTATGGCAAAATAAATGATGAAAAAACTTTTATTGTATGGCTAAACAATGCTTGTAAATTAAACAAATAAGGCTTTGGGAAATGCAAGACAGCTACTCGGTTCTTTGCCGCTCCCTGGCAAAACCCATTTTTTAATTTTTTGCATTCCTCATGCATCACAGTGAATTTAAGCTGGACTTAAATTAGATAAAGGAATTTAGGGGCTGACATTATTAAAAGGATACAACTTACGCTACGGCCAAGGTTTGACAGAGTCACTTCAAGAAAATGCCAAGTAGGAACTTGCATCCTGTCACAGGGAGCTCCCAGGAGACAGAAACTTTAAGATCATTGCCAACCAGAGATTTTGTTTTCTGGAAAGGACGTCAGTTAAAAGACACTCTCCAACCTTGTTGGAAGACACCTGAACAGGTACCTAACCTCTGTCTATGGACATCAAAGAGGAGAAGACACCGACATCAGAGGCAGACAGCTCTCCCAAAACATGGACAAGGCTTGTATACCTACAAATTAATGTTTAACTCAGAAACCAGTTGTTTGATTGTCTTTATCTGTTTGCTAATGATATTAGTCATAGCAATAGTTATTCTTGTTATTTGGATTTTTCTATATAGTCTAGATGTTAATGATGACTGAAAATATATAACTTTTAATACCCTTTGTATGGCTTATGTAAATGTTATACTAGATATAAAATACAGAAAAATGAGACAGAGGCAAAAGCTCGGATTATGATAGCTCATAGGGTAGAAATGACCGAGACTGTGGGTTTGCAATGATGTCTATAAGACCCGACTGCCTCCCATTTACCTGGTCTTCCTTTTCGGGGAAAACTTGGCCTCAGCTCACACCCTGTGTTTATGGTGTTGTCCCACCACCAATGGCCCACCATTTCTATAACACCACGTAGGCTCGGAGACTTTCTAGGAATGAGCCGTCCGAGTGCTGAGGCCACACTATCCACGCAAAAAACTGGCCATCAGTGCATTTTATGGGTTGAATTATGATGAAAGAGGGAACTGTGGCCAAAAAATGGGTTTTATGGAAAGTAACCTCACAGGGTGACCTGACCATACATTCCTACCTGGACAGATCATGGTGGGTCATCGTGCTCCAGGCATATAACTTCTTTAATAAAAGAGCTTATCTTGGCGCTGATTGGAGCGTCATCTTGTGCACCAAAAGGCTGCATGTTCGATTTCCAGTCAGGGCACAAACGTAGGTGGTGTGTTTGATCCCCCAACCCTGTCGATGTTTCTCTTCCTCTCTCTCTAAGGTTGGTAAATGTATCTTTGGGTAAGGGTTAAAAAAAAAAAAAAAAGGCCTGTCTTTGCCTTCAGCAAGCCCTGTCCATTGTTTCTGTCCATCTGGGTTAACACACCTTTGAGATACCAGAATCCCCCTTGAAGGCATAATCATCAAGAGAGCACATAATCTTAACTCTCCCGTAATCTCATACCCATCTCGCTTCTCCCATCTTCATGTAATTTCCTTAAATTCCCCTTTTAATTTCAAATGCATAAAAGAAACTGCAAAAACTGCTGTTCTCCAAAGCATCTGAGATCTTGCTTCCTGACAATTGTTATCAGTTTTGGTTCAAACAAGCTTTTATAAAACGTCTCTTACTGGGCCCTGGCCAGGGTGAATCAGTTGGTTGGGCGTCATCCTGCGAAGACATGAAAAGCAACCAGTTGCTATTTCTCACCCTCTCTTTGTCCCTCCCTTCCCCTCTCTCTAAAAATAAATAAGTAAAATCTTTAAAAAAACAAACAAAAAATATCTCTACTGGTTTGGATGTTTCTTACGGTGACAGATGTTTTAACATGATGAGGTATTGGAGTAGTGTCCAAAGTCCATGGTCCTCAGCCCTGGCTGTACATGAGCATCGCCTGGGGAATTTTGAATAAATACAAGTTCACAATCTGTATTTTGAAATTCTCAAATGCAGAAAGTTCAGAATTTACGATTCAGTTGGCAGCAGCACTCAAAGGGATGTAAGGCCGTTTACAGCCCTAATCTGCCCACGGGGCAGGAATGTCTCTGGGAGGTGGACAGTGGTGTCACTATGCTGGACTGCTGTGTCACAGGTGGGGCAGGTATGCTCTAAGACCTGAAACTAGCCCTGGCCTGGAGGCTCAGTTGGTCGGTGTGTTGTTCTGTATACCAAAAGCTTGCGGGTTCGATTCCCAGTTAAAGCACATGCTTAGGTTGTGTGTTCAATCCCTGGTCAGGGCCCATAAGAAGTAACAAAAAATCCTCTGGTGAGGATTAAAAAAATAGTAATGAATAAAAATAAAAGCTGAAACTACAGATTTCAAAACACTTCTGTCCTCTTTCAAGGGTTTTGGGAAAACCTCGTGCTCAGTCTTATTTAATTGGTCTGGCCATGGGGGGGGGGCCCACTGGTGTGTTTCAGTAGCTCTCCCAAGTAACCTAAAGTACAGCCAGGTCAAGGACACGGGCCTACCCAACATTCTGGAAACACAAGCCCTCCACATGATCTTGCTGAGACCAGGCACAGTGTACTGCGCCAGCTCTGGGTGATGCTAGGTACCTGTGGGATGTCGGTCTTTTTGCTGGTGTTAGGGCTCGAGGTGGTGTAAGACGTCTCAGTGGCGTTGACGCAGGTGGTGAGACCTGAGCCCTGGGCAAAAGCCACCAGGGCAGGCAGGAGGCCACTGAGTCCTTCACCCACGAAGAAAGTGGTAAGGTACTGGGTGGAGAGCCGGCTCATGAAAGGCAGGAAGGTGACCGAGGAAGTGCAGTCCACCAGGGCCAGGAAGAAGGTGAGGACCATGAAAGCGATGCTGTGGTGGCTGCCCTGTACCCAAGAGGTGACATTCCAGAGGAAGGCAAAGAGGGTGCAGGTGACGGTGCCCACTCCCAGCACGGCGAAGATGCAGGGCACCTCGGAAACGCAGCCAGGCCGGAAGTGATGGAGCAGGGTGATGAGGAGGGGGCTGACGTTGGCCAGCTGGATGATCACGGTGAGGTAGGAGGGCAGGTACCAGCCCTCAGGCAGCTCTGTCACCAACAGGGGCAGCTCTACCCAGAGCCCATTGACGGCCACCCAGGAGCCCATCCCAAAGGTGCAGACCAGCAGGTGTGTCAGGAGGGCCATGGTGACGCCTGCCCTGGGCCAGAAGCTGCCACCTCCCCAGATGAGCCTGCAGAGAAAAATACCAGGTGAGCAATGTCAGGTTCACTGTCTAGCAAAAGACTGGGCTTTGGGGCCCAGCCTTTTACCATTCCCCTCTTCATGAACAAGTTGGCTTTTAATTAGCAGAAAACATGAACAAATTCCTTATAACAAACCTTTTAGTTGGAAAGACTTTCTAAGTGTCACAGGTGGGCACAGGTAACCAGGTTCTTGGTGATCGCAGACAAAAAATTGAACCAAACACACAGAGTTTATAGCAGAAAGTGAGAGAAAGCAGATTTATTAAGCCACACAGAACGTGGGAGCAGGCCAACTCTGAGCAGAGCAGAGCAGAGCTGAGCAGAGCTGAGCAGAACTCAGCAGAGCCTAACAGCCCTGACCTCAGGGGCTAGAGGGCTTTTATTCTTTTAGGGTGGGTCCCTCCTGGCTGGTTTTGGCGGGCTTTTACTGTGCATGTTCAAAGAGTTATATTATTTAATATATATATTATTTTAAAGTTACTGCGCATGTGGTCTCCCCTGATTTCCTTGATTGGCCACCGGGAAAGGGGTCCTACAATGCTACTTTATTGTAATGCTATTACAATGAAGCAGGGGTCAGGGAGCATCTTCTGTTCAGGTGCGTTCCTGATTCACTAGGATTCAGTGCTTTTCCAGAAAGCAGGAAATACTAGTCTTAGAACAGGGTTTCCGCCCTTTATCAAGGTTCTTTATCTTAGCCCTGGGCACCTCTGGAGTTTCCTCCTTCCTATCTCCTGCCTCAGAACCATGATTTGTAAAGCTAGAGACCACCAAAGAAAAATTTGATGTATTCAACTGCGTAAATAACAAAACACAACAGCAAACAAAAATATCAACAAAATTCTATCTGCACAAAAAGACAAAAAAAAAGTTGCCAATGATAAAATAAATAAAAGACAGATGATAACCAGGGGGAAAATATTTGCAACATAAACCACAGACAAAGGGCTCATCTTCCGAATACATAAAGACTTCTTAGAAATTAAGAACAAAAAGACCCAATAGAGAGGTGTGCAAAGGATATGAACAGTTTGGAGAAAAAGTACAAATAAGCCTTAAACATATGAAAGGATTATCACTTACATTCATCATGGGAAATGTCAATGAACAATGATTCTAAGGTGCCATTTCTCACCATGAGATTGTCCCAAAGGTTGCTTGCTACAGACAAAATCATGTATGTATGAGGTTATTTCTTTGTGGCCTTGTTGGTAATAGCAAAATATAGGAAACAGCCCAAGTACCTATCAGTAAAGGAAGGGCTAAACAGAGGAATGTCTGTGAGTTGGAATGCTGCACACCCATTAAAAGGAGTTCAGCCCCGGCTGGTGTGGCTCAGTGGACTGAGTGCCGGCCTGCGAACCGAAGGGTCGCCGGCTCGATTCCCAGTCAGGGCACAGGCCTGGGTCGAGGGCCCGGGTCCCCAGTGGGGGTTGTGTGAGAGGCAACCACACACTGATGTTTCTCTCCCTCTCTTTCTCCCTCCCTTCCCCTATCTCTGGAAGTAAATAAATAAAATCTTTTTAAAAAGAAGAAAAGGAATGAGGAATGCGGGAGAGCTCCCTGGCTGACAGGGCTGGGTCTCGAGGCTGTGTTGATAAGGGAACAAAATCAAGCAGACAGTGTGCTGCCTTTTGAACACAGGAACAAGGAGGAAGAATATGTTCTCTTTGCTTGTATTTGCTTGTACTTGCACAAGGCAGCCCTCACAGAACACACAGGCACCGCTGAGAGATGTGTGGTCGCTATACCAAAAGATTTGTAGACCCTTTTATACAGTCTTGACTTGTGTACCGTGTACACATACTGCCTATTACAAAAATATGGTTACTTGACATAAAATTCTAATCTGTCATTTTTCTCCTGAAATTATAGAACTCCCTAACGGGACAGGCCCTTGGAGGCCACCTAACTCTAGCCCCCCACCCCCTGGAACCATTCTGCCACCTCTAACCACCTTCCCAGTGACCTCTCACACCACCTGTGCCATTACTCTCTTTATCTCCCCTCAGTATAGGTACAAACATCGGAGGGGCCAGGAGGAAACTCTGGAGCCAGCTGCCTGGGCTTGGAGCCAGCTCCCTGGGCTTGAACCCAGCCCTGCCACTTGTTAGGGTGACCTTGGGCAAGTGACTTTGCCTCCTTATACCTCATGTTTCTCATCTGTAGATAGAGGACAATGAGAGTATCAATGTGAGGCAAACGTGTTAGCAAGTTGCTGTTCTCGCAAAGAGCACCAGGCACACAGCGCTCACTAAGGGTTAGCTCTTCTCATTATGGTGAAATGCCAGGTTTGGTGACATAGCTACTGTTTTCTAATTCATGTGAAAGTGAACACAGGACTATTCAAATTTTAAAGGAGGAGAAAATTCGCCATGAGGAGCCCCATAAAATCACTGGCAGTACATGCACCATTTTGAGAGAAATGTCGACGGTCGATTGGGCCAGCGGCCTCCTTTTATGGATGGGAAACAGGGCAGGGACCCGGGGGCGGGGTAAGGGGCTCTCCTGAGGCTGGGAGGTGGGATCGGGAGGGGTATCTTGTAGCATTTGGTTCCCTACACTGCCCCATGACCCTGTGGTGACCCCTGATCCCTTGGCTTTACTCAGTTCACAATGTCAGTCTTTAATGCCTTGTCTCTGTTCTTCTAGAACATGCAGGAGTGTCTCTTGTGGCTCTGCCTCACCCAGGAAAGTCTTGACACCACAGCAATTGATTCTGAGGTCCCCTACTTCCTTCCTCCTTCCTCCTCCTTCTGCAGGGGAAACCCAACCCACCCACTCCCAGCATCACCTCTCTTCTGCTCCCGGAAACCTGGGGCAGAATGCGGTCCCATCCGCTTTCAAGCCTGCTCTGCCACCTCCTATCTGGGGCCTTACCTAAGCCACTGAAGCTCTGTTCTCTCACCAGGGAAGCTGGCCTAACAGCCCAGGACAGCCTGGTTCCAGTACATCAAGAGGTCCCCCTGGAGAGGAGCAGCCCCAGGCAACGGCCCCCTTCCTGGCTCCTTTTGCTTTGCCTGTGCAGTGCTCTGAGCCGGGAGCACTGCCCGCCCGCCCCGTCCCCCTCCCTCCATCTACAGCCCAGCTTTCTGCAGGACGCTGTCCCCAGGCAACCCCTCTGGCTGGCCAGCGCTGGGCCCAGGCTCCCTCATGTAAAGTTTTCCGGTGGGGACACATGGCAGGTACATTTCTGGGGAGACTGAAGCTCTTAGAGGGCAGACATCTGCTTTGGAAACTGGCACTGTGAAGGCAGAAGAGCTTTTCAGACGACCTACTCGGGATTTGCAAACCAGTAACTCCTTGGCCTTAGCCAAGTGACAGATATGTCATTTTGGTTTGCTGTGTGTTATAATGAGTTACTGAAATCCGCACATTGGGAGGTGGCATACAACACTCAAGATTTCGAGGTTCTTGGAATGTTATGTCAAATCTCACAACAAAAACTGGGGAGAGGGGGTGTATTTTATGTCTTCAGCTAAACATTTTTCATTTATTTAGTAATCCATTTTTACTGTAAAGGTAAAAACATACGCGTTTGCAACAAATTGGAAATAAAGACGGGAGCTTGCTCATGGAGGGGTGGGGGAAGATTTCTGGTTTCTGGAGAATATTCTGGAAGATCACAGCACGCCTGCATGTCCACATGGCAACCATCACTCTGGGCCCTCTTTAGCTTAGGGTGCCTGCCCGGGCCCCTGCCCTTTGAGACAGCATGGGTAGAGCTGGGGAGCAAGATGCTAAGCAAGACCAGCCAGGCGGGGAAAGACAAGTACCGTATGATCTCACCTGTAAGTGGAACCTAATAAAAAAAATAAGCCTTAGGCATTGCAACTCCTTATTTTTGAGCGTGGCTTGCCCAGGATCCCTCACTGGCCGGGAGCAAAGTTGGGGCTGGAATCCTGTGTTGGGCGTGTGTCTCAGTCTCCAGCGGGCTCCAGGCACTGCCTTCAGCCACCTTACTGCTCTCCCTGCAATACAATTCGGAGCCAGACGCCTAGGTTCAAATCCCAGCTCTACCCCTTCCAACCTGAGCAAATGACTTAAACCTCCCGTACCTGCTACCTTTTCTGCAAAATGGGGAGGCTCCCAGTACCAGCATCACAGATTTACAAAATGCTAACCTGGCACCTGACAACAGTAAGTGGCCTGATTGCTGTTTTAGCAAATAGATGAACTGCCACTTGAAAACACGCACTTACCCTGAACACACTTTTGCATATAACACAAGTAATTCTTGATGGCAAAGTTTTGTTGTCACTTCCTCTTAGTCACTCAACAGGGATTATTAAGCACCTGCTTTGTGCCCAGAGCTCTGAGGGATGAAAGAAAAGCCACAGAGACTTTCCCCAGAGAAGATTACGAGGAAGAGGTATGTGGGTTGCAGGTCTCCAGGGCAACCACGGGCCAAGGCAGAGGTGAGTTGGAGGAGGGGAGGGGCTGCTGGGAAGAGACGGGGAGGCAGGGTTTCTCCTCCGGCCTTGGCCAAAGCAGGTAACTCAGTGGCTATGAAATGGGAGCAGGTCTTCCTGGAGAATCAGGGGAGTAGGGGAGGGAGAGGATGCCTTTCAAAGACCAGTAGCTCTGGTGCCACTTCTCAGGTCGCTACTGTACTGTCCTAGAAGACCCAGAAACAGGCGACAGCTGCCCGCCCGACCTGACACCAAAATCTGGGGTATGTCAGGCAGAATCCCGCTTTTAAAAATCCGCCCTGTTCAGGGTGGATTCAAGGCTTATAAATATAAGATGTGATACCATAAAAGCCCTAGAGGAGAACATGGGCAGGAAAATTTCAGATATTCCCCACAGAATATTTTCACCAATACATCCCCTAGGGCAAGGGATATAAAGGGAAGAATAAACAAATGGGACTTCATCAAGGTAAAAGGGAACCAACCATATGGGAAAACATATTTGCCAATGATACCTCAGACAAGGGTT